CCCCAAAACCCCAAAACCCCAAAACCCCAAAACCCCAAAACCCCAAAACCCCACGAGATAAAATTTAAATTGAAAATGCTCTGTTAAAACCTTACTAATAATTTTAACTCCTTATTATGGTTGACACAAATTGTTAGGTTACTCTCCTAAATTAGTAAATGTTACCCCTTATTCTAAAACTGGATAGCTTATAGTTATTAGACTTTTTAAATCAAACTTAGCATTTAAAGAAAATATTAGAAAGATATTAATAATTGAAGGTACAAATTTAATCAACTTGGGAAATTTGCTAGAAATTTAACCTAAATTTCATGATAGTTCAGGTGAATTTCGATTAAAATTTGTAAATTATTTTATAAGATAATTTAAAAGCTCATTTTAGAATTTTCACTGTAGAAAATTTTATATCGATATTATCATCACTCATTTTATCTCTTCATGACAAGAACAATGCAACAAGGCTAGAAATGACTTTATTGACCGTCCAATGAGGGTGATAAAAGTTAATAGTAGCCAAATTGTTGTGAAACTAGAATTTGGCCATAAAATAATTAGAGGAACAATTTCTTAATTTCTATAAAATTTTAACTTTATTCTGCACAATTATTAAAAGATTGCTGTTTGAAAGATTTTATGGCCTCTAATATGATGATTGAAATGCATCCTCAAACCCTGCATTCTTGGAGAATCAGAATTCAAATTGAGTTATTAAGACTGGATTACCCCAGCCCAGGAAATTCCCATATTCAGGATCTTCCTTATAGAAAATTTTCTTTTAATTAGATGATAATCAAACCAAACCCAGCCATATTGACTAATGAATCTTAGATTAAAGTTCTTTATTGATATTAGTAGGAATTATGGCTACAAGCTGATAAGTTCATCAACTAAGTCATTGTACATCGTCTTTGAGCCTGGAGTCCTCTTAAGAGCTTGGCATGAAGATTTATCAGCAATTTGACTCTCACTTGAAGAATTCGTATTTGAGGCTAACTCTTTTTGATAAAAACTTTTAATTTTTACTTTATTTAAATGATTATCAACAAAAGATGTCCTGTCAGATTTGATCGTTTCAAAGATTCATGCTACTGCAGCTTCAGGAGAGGCTATTTCATCAGTTTTTGAACCTTCCTTCTCAGTGAACCTATCAGAGTTGGTAATTTCACACCTTGGAGTTTTCACCTCATTCGTATTGTTAGAGCAATCTTTTATTTTATTATTGATAGGTAAAGTATTTTCGCCGAGATTTCCTTCTTTGGCTCCAAAAATCTTAGCCTGAGTTTTAGCAGAAAAGTCTTTAGTACTTTCTTCCTTAATTCTGGAAGATATTTCCTCTAGAAGAAGCGAATCTTGGTGTCTTTTGATGTTCCTAACTCCTCGATTGCTTCTCTTCTGTTTAATATTGATTGGATGGTTGAATCCTAACTTTCCCTTCAGACTAGCCTTCGCAAGTGTAAAAGAGCAGTGAACTTCCGAATATATCTTGTTAAAAATGTCTTCTCTTTCAGTTTCGAAGTCTTTGGTGTCATTATTTATATTTTGTGATAAATTATTACTTAAATTTAATAAAGATGGTAGTTCCTTAAATAACTTGTTTTGGGTCATTCTTGGTACAACCTTCGAGAAGGCGCTTGACCCTATCTTGAAGGATCAAACTTCTTTAGACAATTTACTGTTGAAATTTTGCTCTTTTGTACTTTTGTTAGTGCGTCTAGTTTGCATTATCGACCGATCAGAAATGTAGATTAAATAAAAGGATTTTTAATATTAAAATTAAAGTACTTCAATTTAAATTCACAAGATGGGGTTTTGGGGTTTTGGGGTTTTGGGG